CTTCTTGTTCTATTGTTATCGTTCGACATTCATCAATTGTTATTCATTTTGCGCTGCTGATTGTCGAGTGTTTTCAATGAAACGATTCGCTGTTTTTCTGGCTTATTCACTGAATTCAGCTGATTCGTTGTCATTCCCGTAGTGATGTCAGCAGCCATCGTTTCGTTAGCGATTCCATTACTTTCACATTGTCAAATGTGTTTTTTGTGTGTGCATGTGTACAATTTTCATGATATGCACAATGCGATCTCACAAGTGAATTCAGTTTTTGTTTCCAACCAATGTATTATTGTTTGTTGAATGTAGGCAGCAGATAAGTGATCACTGCTTGCCCATAGAAACAAATCGAATAAATATTCGACGAATTATGAATGTGCGTTCATTTTACAGGGTTTCTCCACTGAACAACGAGACAAACGTCGTGCAATCGTCCTGATTCAAGCGTTTAATTGCCTCGTCGTGTATCATATATTCATAAATTTAATCTCATCGTCAATAACACTGCGGATATCTTATTCAAACGGCATTCATTAATCAAATTTTATCGGTGTTATATGCGTTAACCAACAGTTGATCGGAAGGAAGTGTTCTTGTTTTTGTACAGTGTTTGAGATGCGAGTGGATTCGTTATTGCGTTTATTGTGGCTATTGTTAATATCTTTATTATCGCTATCATCAAACGTCAGTGCTGATGAAAAATCTTTATTTGGGAGTAATAGCCAAGTGACACAGTTGAATATTGATAATTTCGACCAAACTGTTTATAATCAGGTGACCGACTTTTTCGCTTTATTCTCTGATCGTTTTATCGCTTTATCGGTAAATTCGATCGTTAGATCATTTATTCCTTCGATTTATTTTTATATTCCTCCAGAGATAAATTTAACAAAGTCAATCCATATGTGATAGGGTTGGATATCGAACCTTGAAGTAACTATCGAACATAATTCTTTGACTCCTATAAAACCGTTTTGATACCAGTTCACTTTCCACTATTATAGGCTTAATTCATGATTGATTTCTCTGATTACTAATAATATTGATAACTGATATTGATAATATCATTATTGACCGTGGTTTTCATTGTTGTTTTAATTCGTTTCCATTTAATGTCGTCAAATTTCAGAAAAAATATTTTTTCGTTGAGTTTTATTCGAGTTGGTGTGGTGCGTGTATTCAATATGCGCCTCATTATGAAAGTTTCGCAAAGTACGTTTATATTGTGCAATTCATGACTATTTCCGATTCATATTTATTTCCCGTTCAAATCCTTCCAAATCGGTTCTCTTCAGCACAATAACGTATCAGCTGTTTTTCCATTGAGTAAATGCTCAATGCTCACAGTTAAGGCATTGATGCATTATGATCTGCGACTGTTGTTATTCTATACGGAGACATTTGGTAATGTCAAACATCTGAAAATTGTCGGAATGAATTCGAAATTTTGCATTCCACTTGGAGGTTTCATTGTTTTTTCTTTTCAATTCTTAATCGAACTGAATCGTTTCAGTGAAATAAAGGACTGGAAACCAGTGTTCGAAGTTGCGGCCATAAACTGTGCAGATGATAAAAATATACAATTGTGCCGTGCTCATGCTATTGATGCTTTCCCAACCGTTAAGGTATGCTCAATAGCGGAAATATATCAATGTAATGACAATATTAACAAGAATATGAAATGAACTTAATAAATATGCATGAAACATGAAAAAAGTCAGTGAATAAGAACGAAACAACTGTAACTGAGTCTGGTTGGAGGAAACGAACTGTATCTATAGTGAAAGTCGATGGCATGAAGAGTTTCTTCTTCACCAGAAGTCTGCTATGTGATGAATGATGCAGGCAATATGATTAATGTTATTGAGTATGAGCAAGGTGATGATCGATTGAATACGATTGCAGTATTTCAAATATATGTCGAGAAGTCACGATGACGGGGTGAAATATAACGGCAACAAACATGATATGGTGAATTTACCGCTGGATGTTGCTCAGTTGGTTCGAGATGACTGGCTTAAAAGGAAACCATCTGAGCTACCGAACTTCGACTATGAATCGAAGTTGGTGCTAAAATTTCATTTGCGGTTTTTTCCTTTGCACCAAAACACATTTGACGAAGTCTTACTTAAATCAGAATTGTTTTTTAAGTTTCATTAATATCAATGTTTATTTATCTTAAGTTTTCCGCTTGTGAAACTCTCCAGTTTCAGAATTCTAAAAGTATCCCTTAATCAGTATGGAAACGTTATTGTCACAATGTCAGAATCCAATGAAATTGTCACACGAGCTAATTTCTTGCCTTCTTTTAGCACTTCCACATTGCATAGTCTTTGGCGATCGAGTGGCCCTCAAGCGAAACTGCTTGCAGTTATTGTTGAATCTCATCCACCGAGGCAAGCTTGGGCGGTGAGTTGTAAATGAATCTTGATCATTACTATTATTCCCATTGCAATTATCAATCGTATAACTATTGTTCTGGGACTGTTATATTGCTATAAAAGGTATTATTATCAGTATCACTAGTTAAGAATATCACCGTTAATGTTATCGAGTGATATGCTTTCAGGCGAAGATCAACTTTGCGCACGATAAACGAGTTCATGTCGCACTGGTGAGCAGCTCCGATCCGTTAGCCAAAGAGCTCGGTGCCACTGAAGTTGGAGATCTGCCGAAGTTTTATTTGTTCACCAGAGCACAACCGAAGACGCCCGTCTTCACATCGGGGTATGTTTTT